ACTAAAATAAAAACCTATCTTATACCTTTGCCTTGATTTTCTTGGTTTTTGTTTTTCTCTTTCTTCTTTTCCAAGTTGGAGCTTGATCACCAACATCTCATGTCCATCTTCAACTCCATGGACCTCTTGCTTGCTCCATCACTTGAGTGCACCAACCTAGCTCAATTCATCACTCATGACATAGGTTAGTACTTAGGTTTCATCAATTAGCCAAAACCAAACTAGGGCTTTCAATCTCTCTCATTTTTGGTAATTGATGACAACCTTTTCACAAAGATATTCAATAAAATCCTTTTGGATTAATGTTGCTTGCCCAAGCATATTACCATATGTAAAGATTATGGACAAGTTTCATAAACCCAAATTGGTAGCATTAGCTCCCCCTACATATGTGCTAAGAGTTTAGATTTGAAAGCTTGCACATATGCATGGATTAGGAAGTGTGGGGAAGTAATGTCTACCAAATGATGCTAAGGTGTTAAGAATGGACCATTAGGGCTAACCATTCTTGTAGAACAAGCAAGACTTCTCTCTTAAGTGATGAGTATACTTGTGATTCATTACTTATTGTTGAGAGTGAAACTCTCAAGAAGGAGGTGGTTGAACTCACTCATGCACTAAGCAAGTGCTATTTGGGTGAGGAATGGCTACGACGATGCTTGGCTAGCCAAAGGTTCTCCTTGAACAAGGAAGGCCTTGACTATGTGCAAAAAAGGGCAAGAACACCTTTGCTCCTCACAAAACCACCTTTGTGAGAAACAATGGCAAGTATTGCAACAAGTGCAAGGACATTGGGCACTTGGAGAAAGAATGCAAGGGGAAGAAATTTATCCACTATTCCTTATTATTCATGTTATATGCTTTATAGTAATGCTAGTGGTACTTGTGCTAAGTTTCTGGGCACCCCTATAGTTGGTGCTAATAAGAAGCCTATTTGGGTACCTAAGACCTTGGTAAATAACCTCCAAGGACCCAAACAAGTTTGGGTATCTAAAAAGATTTGATCTCTTTTTGTAGGTAAACTATAAGGCTAGAGGGAGGCCTTAGGTGTTGGATAGTGGATGCACCAACATATGATATGTGATTACAAGATGTTCAACTCTCTCAACTCAAATGCATTTTGCATTATGATAATGTCACAATTAGTGACAATGGCAAAGGCAAAGTTGTTGGCTTGGGTAAGATTGCTATATCCACTGATCTCTCAATATCCAATGTGCTACTAGTTGAGTATCTCAATTTCAATCTATTGTCGGTGGCACAACTATGTGACTCGGGCTTCAAGTATGTGTTCTCATGTGAAGATGTGGAGATTACAATGTTGATGGAAGCAACATCATCTTCAAGGGTTTACACATGAGAACCTCTATCTAATTGATTTTGGTGCTAGTGAGACAAGACTATCAACATGCTATTATTCACCAAATCATCAATGGGTTAGCTATGGCATAGAAAATTAGCACATGTAGGATGAAGCAGTTTGATAGGCTAATCAAGCATGACTTGGTCAATGGGTTGGAGAATGTTATATTTGAGAAGGACCGGTTGCTTAGCTCTTGTCAAGTGGGTAAACAAGTTGGAACACTCGTCCTAGCAAAAGCATGATGTCAACTAGTAAGCCTCTTGAGTTGTTGCATATGGATCTATTTGGACCTACAACTTATGTTAGCATTGATGTCAATAAGTATGGACTTGTGATAGTTGATGACTTTTCAAGATTGTTGATATTTCTTATGCTCAAATGGATAATTTCGCAAGCACAATATCGTTATAGCACTTCTCCCGAGAGTATTCTAAGCTAAAAGAGAGATACTAGAGTGATTCCTTCTTCTTGGTGTGCTACATATGAGTAGGGGGTATTTGTAGTGGAGTGTGAGGCAGCGTAGCTGGCAGTAGGTGGGTTTTGGTGAACTCTGCTAGGTTTGGCCAAACCAATGGATATCCCACCTTTGCATCCAACTCTTCACAACACTCCTTGATGGGGGTTGATAGGTATCCTATGCGGTTCCTGACCGTTTGTGCTTATTTGCAAGGGATGGTGGACCCTTCAATCCTTGTAATGAACTAATGATACATGACAACCCTCTGATCAAATGTCCTTGAACCAACGTATATGATTGCTTTCTAGTATGTTTTCTGGCTTGCGGTATGAATTGAGACCTGTTAGGGCTAGACCTAGTTGTCGAGCCCTAGTGGGTTTGAGCGACTTAGCCTATGGGTCTACTTTTTTCTCCTATTACTTCCATTGCTTCCTAGAAACCTACATTCTCCATATACACGTGAAACCATATTATTTGAAAATAGGTTCACTTTATCAATATGTTGATGATCTCAGATTGATCATTTAGTGACCATGAACAAGCTCTTCCAAGCTTGCCTTTTTCTCGTCCCAAGCAAAGACTGAGATATGATCGGTGGATCAGGAGTTGCATCAATGTTAATTCCTTACGAATACCTTGCATACAATATCTTTTGAATTGGAGCAACTCTTGCTAAATGTCTCGTCCCCTCCCTCTACGACCACACCAAAAGCAAAGACATCAAGGTTGCTACAACTGTTACTCAACTAATTAAGTAGTGTGCCCCTTCACGGCGAAGCGGTTCACCCCTCCTATAGAACTGAACTTGCGTCTCTTGAATAAAGCATGCTAGCTGGCGTCTCACTGAGATCCACTCCAGACCGGCAACACTAGATCTATATCGGCAAGAATGGTGCTCTCCATGCTGGTCCAATCTACAGGAATATTAAAGGCCTATTGGGATTCCATGGTCTAAAGTTTAGCCACTAAACATTAGACCACTTAAGATCTTGAAGCTCCAAACTTTAGACCACTAAACTTTGGAATGAAAAAATAAATTATAATAGAATGGTTAGAAAATACTAACCATAAGCAAGATCAAAGCTGAGGACACCAGTAGTGCTTTTACTTGGGTCTGACCGATCAAACTCAACTGATGTAATGTAGTAACTCAATACAGTGCAGTGACATTTTGTATTGCGATGACCAAGCCAAATGTTCGCAGATGGTGTCACCATGGCTGGCTGTGGTGGAGGAGCAATGTTATTGACGATGATGTTAGTGAGTATTGGTCGAAGCAATCAACATGAAAGACAACATGAGCACCGTCTGACTTGGTTGAAAGGCAACCCGTGGTGAAGAATGCGAGTTGTCATGTGAACTGCTTCCCAAAACCTTATCCACCCTATCTCGGTGCATGATCACAAGAGCGAAAGGTTTTGAAGACCTACTTTCCCAATTACAAGTGTACGACAGTGATCGGGATAGAATAGTCACAATGACTGCATAATATAGAGAGAAGGAAAAATCTAATTAACTATCTATACCTGAATATTTGGTATAAAACTATGTTACATGTGTAACCCATTTGATCTATGCGTGATAGGTTTGGTTACTGGATGGTGGTGACGAAATACTGACGCCACTTGAAATGCTAAATCACAAATTCACCGTCACCAATTTCATGCATACCTATACCAAATCCTAACATATCTCCACGCACCGGTAGGCAAGCACAAGCAAATACTACTTTTTTTAGAATTACACCGTACAACGTAGACGTTCACAACACGCACGCACATTCACTTTTATGAACACACATACGTAAACCATATCCTTATGAGCACCTTCGAAGGATTGAGCCAGCAGATCTTGAGATTCACAAGTCAGCACGGGCGCCTCGCTGTCGGCGGGAACGTCGCTTACCACTGAAAGCATAGCGCCGTTAAATTTCTAGAATAAATCCAGAAAAATACGAGCACCCATGTCAAGTTGATGACTTAAATCCGAGTGGACAAGTTCCATCATAAGAACCCTGTGAGAACACTGGCACGAAGAATGAAACCGGACTTCTTGTAGCAAATTTGTGGTAGCAGACAGATAAGAGTGAATGAGAATGACGAGAGACCGCTGAAAGAAAGGACAACAGAAGGGATGAGACTGCCATGCGGCTTAGAAAGAGTAGTGTGGTGACCGAACTTAACGGTGTCTCACGTGAACACCAACATATATGTCTTACTCTTACACTCTACCTAAAACAAATTAACTCTAACCATGACTGCTGAGTAGACCTGCTAAAACAAGTTATTTCTAATCATGACCGCTGAGTAGCTCTGCTGTTGTATGGCAGGACCGTAGGAGTATAATATACTACGGTGTTGATTCTATGGTTCGCTGATTATTATATAGTCGCAAAAAAAAGTTCCATGATTATATTTTGCGGCCGATTGAATCTGTCAGAAAGCATATGTCATGTTCTGTAGCACTACTTCAATAATATTTTTTAGTGAATAAAAAATATTTTTCTTTCATAATAAATCAGCATACCAAATTTCAGCGAAACAAACAGGGCTGCCTCTTCTGACAAAAACGATCAGCTATAGGCAGCTGCACCTACAGGGTCACACATCGTATCCAACCGGCCGTGCTGCCCGTGTTCAAACACGAAACTCAGCCCTGCGTTAATTTGTGATGAACGGAGTTGTGCGAAGCGACACACGAAAGTTACTAGCTACTATACAAGAGAAGAAAAGAAAAGGAAACAGGGAAATTGCAGCTGGGCCGGTGAGAAACGGGAGTCGGCTCTGTTGGCTTGAGTTTATAAGAAAGAATTAGCTTTATTTTTTTAAATTATAGAATAATATTTTTTTCTCATAATAAATTAATTCTATAAATCAGTCGTACTAGCACCAATAACTGCCGATCAAGCCGACGCGGCTGTCCTATTCCGGAACGGTGTCGAGCAAGGCAGTTGCGCGAGACGCGGGCCGGGCTTGTTGCGCCATCCTCGTATCGGTCTCGAACTCCTTGCTTGCCACCGACGTCTGCTTCGGTGCTTCCCGAGGAGCGCGGTGACGGCGCTCACCGCAATAAAAGGGGACGCCCTCCGGACGGGCAAGTGAAGCCATCTCATCTCATCACAATTCACAACTCAAAAATCCAAGCGGCACCTGCTGGTGTTCCGTAGCACGCACGCCTGTGATGGAAGGCTCCTTCGAAGACCGGTGGCCGAGCCACCGCCACCGCCGCCGCCGCAGCCTTGCCGATCTGAATGCCGACGAGCCGAATGAAGGCGAGTTCGTCCCGGGGCACCACTACCACCCCGGTATGAAGAGCGAGAAGTACTACGACGACCGCGATCCCTCAAGCGATTCAGACGAGACCATCAGCGACTCCGTGCGGGCGAACTACGGCGCCGCCAGCCCGTCCTGCGCCGCGGCGAACGACAACGGCGCCGCCAGTTCGTCCCCCGTCCCCGCCGACACCGCGGCGGTGCTCGCCTGCCCCTTCTGCTGGAAGGAGTTCCGCAGCCACAAGGCCGTGTGCGGGCACATGAAGGTTCACCGGGAGCAGGGGATCAAGAAGGACAGGGAGGCCAAGCGCAACGTCAACGTGGCTGCCGTGGGGCGCCGCTGGGCCGCCACCGGCAATCGAGGCTGCTCGGGGTCGAGGGGAAGGGCTGCCTCTACGAATGCCGAATCGGACCAATCCATGGCCGCTGTGGTGGCTGCAGAGTCCAAGATTGTCTTGCAGCCCAAGCCTTTGGCGTTTGCACCGCCCAATCCGTCGTCCGTGCCCACGGCGACCGCAGCACCCAAGATGCCGTCCATGCCCGCGGCGTCCGCAACGGCCAATGATTCCTTCGAGAGCAGCAGCCCGAAGCCGATGCACAAGGACGCCATGGAGACTGCGGTCGCAAGAGCAGCTAATCCACTCATGGAAGATGCCGTCCACCTACATGCCGCGCCGCCGCCTGCTGCACCCGTCCACCAGCAGCTCGTTGCGCCGCCGCCTGGAGATCGGCGGAGTCCGAAAGGGTATACATGCAAGAAGTGCGGTATGTGGTTCCGAACGCACCAGGGGCTCGGCGGCCACATGGTTGGCCACAAGAACAGGGAGAGGGAGCTGGCTCCCGCCGCGGTCCAGGACGGCGCCGTCCCGTACCGCAGCAACGCCAAGCCGGAGAAGATGCACGTGTGAAAGGTCTGCGCTGCGGAGTTCCCCGGAGGCGTACAACTCGGCGGCCACATGAGGAAACACTGGGCTGGCCCGCCGATCAACAAGAAGCCACGCTTCGTCGTCCAGATCCTTCCACCACCACCACGCACAACCACGGTGGGCGTGGCAGACCTCACGCTCGCGCTGCCGGTCAAAGCGGACGAGGCGTTGCCTGCACCTAGGCCGGCCGTGGCGGGCAGAGTGCGTCTCTTTGGCATTGACATCGGACCAGGGGTGCAGACGCCGGCGGCGCAACAAGGCTCGTCGTCTGCGACAGTCATCGGCGTCCACCAGTAGGAACAGTCAGAAGGACAACTAATTTTGAGGCCTAGTGCGGGCATGCAAATGCATGTAGAGGAATACAGTACTTAACATTGTTTCCTTTTTCAGTGTAGAAGATATACGGATCTTTTCCCCCTATGTTCACGGAGAACAGTTGTTACTCTTTTTTGCAGACAATTGAAAATACAAATGCAGTACATGTTCTGGCTTACTATGTTTTTCTTGATTTTTTTAAGATGGTTATTATATGGTGATGTCATCACCACCGGTGTGAAAGCATCTCCAATAGTTCTTAAAAAATCAATCGGTAAATCAATGAGTTTTTTAGGTGGAAAAAAGTTGGAAGCACGCTTGTTAAGTTTCTTCACCAATTTCGAAAATCTTCTCCTAAAGGGGCCATTCGGCTGGTCCAAATTTCAGTCGGAATTTACTGTTTATGGCTGAAATTCACTGTTCATCCTCTCACAAATACTTCCAGATTCATCAAGATTCCTCCAAATTCCTCAAAGCGAACAGGGCCAAAATATATAAGACAATGATGCATCGAAGATTCCTGAACTATTTCTAAATCAGCATATGCACTTTTATACTTTCTTCTTCTCTTATATATTTGCATTGGAAATCCTATATTACTCTTTATTCTTCCCCGTATCCTTCCAAATTTGTAGCTCGATACACATATATTCCACCTTTAGATTTGCAGCTTGATACACACGTACATTTCTGCACAATTAGGTCGATTTTTATGCGAAAAGATTGGGAGTTAAGATATAAAATTGGTGGAGAGCAATTTTTTTTTAATCTTGCCAAAAAAATCAAGATTCGAAGTGGTCTAGTTAGAACTATTGGAGATGCTCTGACCACGTATAACTACCCGAACAACAAGGCCACTAGGCCAGTTTTTCACTCCACACGAAGGCTAAACACTAAGGCCTCTTTGGGGAAAAAAATTCTGTTTCCTGTGTTTTTCTATGAAATTTCTATATGAGGCGTGTTTGCGCACCTGGACCAGCACGACCTAGCCAGCCCAAACGGACCAGGCGTGGGCAGGCCTGCCCCAACTGCTGCAACGCAGCTTGTTTGCGCACCTGTACCGATTCAGCCCGGCCTAGGCGAGCTGGTGTTTGTGACCCAATACTTAGCCGGGCTCAAACGCCAACCGCCACCAACTGCCGAGCACAGATTGTGTTTGCCAGCTGCTGTGCTCGACCTGGCCCAAAGAGAAGGAAGAACAGCATGATCAATAGAGAAGCAAACACTTTGAATGAAAATATACAAAAGACATAGGCCTCAGACTAATTCCATTTAATCAACACATACATTGTCGGCTACATTGCATAATCAAAGAAGCAAATTAAGAACAGTAGCAGAATTAAGTAGTTTGGCAAGCCGAGAAGGGCAACAAGTTAACAGAAAAGAGAGTATATGAATCAAAGTGGCATGTAGCCAGCTAATGCAGTCATCCTATTGTGTCATCATCGGCCTAATTAAAACAACAGCTGTGGCACATGAACAGCTTGAGCGACAGACCAACTACAACCATAAACAAGATCAAGATGACAGCATTTTTGCAACAGCCTTGTAGCCCAGGTGAATGAGGATAGATTTCAGAACCTTGAGCTATCACCAGTTCATGGGATGCTGATGCATCCCCATGAGGGGCATCAATTGGTAACAGCAAGGGTTCTTGAGGTACCCTTGCATTAAAATCTCTAAAAGCATCATCATATTTGTTGTACTTCTGATAGATAGCCCCTTCTTCCCTAAGCACTTGCTTAGCACACTCATACCATATAAAATAAATCCCAGGTTTCTTCCCTTCAAAGACCACATAGCAAAGAGGCATTCTCTGAAACCAACCAAATGTAGAACATATAAGTGGTCTGAATGACATGCCTCAGTCGACCATTCAGTTTGAATGATGGTGAACATTATCGGCTACTTGATAAAAAAATTAGCCTCAGCTTAGTAGTTTGGTGGTTTTTTTCCTTGTTTAGTCATTGATGGCTACCAAGAATTGTAAGAACCAAATAAAGAGGCAAATAAACAACAGTTGCACTCACTGCCATACAGACCTTTTGATCTGTTGCACTCACTGTCATCAGCCATCACAAGAGGATGTTGTTGCTATGGAGTACAACTGAGCATAAGTATAGAATGGAAGGATAGGCAAATAAAGAACAAAGCACAACAATAAAACCATCAAAACAAGAATAAAGTAGCCACCTCATGTTTGTTTTATGCATCATAGGCTTTTAAATCCCACAGTTACCACCAGGGCATAAACAACACAAATAGACAACTAGTTATCAAATAAAAAGTAGCCAACAGAGGCTACAAATAAGTTTCTTACAATACCAAGTTCAGCCCAACAGCCAAGGGCTCAAATGTTCCCAAATCCTTGCCTATTGTTAGCCACCCTCCTAGACAAACTACACCATCAAGGTCAGGTGTCAAAAGAACAAGCAGACTGCAGGGTATACAATTACCTTAAAATATTTTGGGTGGGATCCTTTTTCCTACCTCTGAAAGCTTGTTGCATGCGCCTAGGAACCCTTGCTAGGAAATGAGTGCCATCTATAAAGCCAATGACATCCTAAAAAGCATGGGTCAGTCATTGCAATAGGTCTAATATAACTAATGAACCCAGGGTATACAATTACCTTAAAATATGGATTCCATGTATGGCTTCCAAGAATCTTTGGGTGAGTGGTAGTGCTAGCTAGTTTTATCATTTCATTCCTAAGCTCACCCACAGCATACAACACCTGATGGAAGTGCTTGTGGACAGTTTGTCCTAAAGGACTGGTGGACAACCCTAAATCTTTGGTTGTGCCCTACAACATGTAAAAACATGGCAACCTGCTCTTCCCTATCAGTGATAAGACTCCTCTCTCTAAAAATTCTCACTACCTTAAAAAAGCAGCTCTCTTCATCCTAATTATAGAAATACACTCTAAATCAGTGGAGTTGTATATCATTCTCAGTGTTCTCTGTTTGTGCTGTTCATTTTCATCCCTAATCAGGGCCAGTGCTATAGGATCAGGCAGTGGGGTTTCAGGTTCAGGGGTTTTCCTTTTCACCCTAGTGGATACAAAGGAAACCATAACAACAGTCAAGGCAACTGCCTTCCTACACAGCATGTCACGGCTCAAAGACAGATCCATCTACAAGCATGTAAAAATGTAACATGATTTTAGCTTAATGTACCATGCTAGGCATCAACATGAATGAGAAATGAATGCATATGAACAAAAGCACAGCTGCATCTTATATGTGATGCCTCCCAGTGCTAAATTTGGACAACATCATCGACCAATGATGGAACAAAAAACTCAGAGCAATAGTAATCAGAAACAGATCAACATCCCTAATAGATAAAGAACAGCAAGGTACAAGTAACACTAACAATTGCATCAAACAGTTATGAACAGCAAGGTACAATACTAATCTGAAACACAGATCAACAACCCTAACAGACCACGATCCCAACAGATCAAGAACAGCAAGGTACAAGTAACCCTAATAGGAGCATGAAGTAGTTATAACAAGTATGAAACCCTAACAGATCATGAACAACAACGAACAAGAAACCCTAAGAACTTCAAGAAGCATCACAAAAAAGAAGATTGGGAGTCGATTTCACCTTGGCTCGGGGTCCAAACAACGGAGAGGAGGCAGATCTGGAAGTAGAGGATGCAGATCGGGAAGAAGACGAAGCAGATGCGGATGGAGAAGAAGAGGAACACCGCCACCACGGAGTCCCAGCAGCAGCCGGAGCGGGGACACAGCAAAGAACCTCGGCGCCGGTGACCGAACCCACAACCAGCCGGAGGTCGCCGCCGCCGCCACGCACCACCACTCACCGCCGGTCTCTCACGAGGGAGGTGGAAGAGCAAGCACCGAGTGGAAGAAGGAGAGAGTGGAGAGTGGGAACCCGTATATAAAGGTCGGCGAAATCGCCGCCATTTCGCTTCGCGCGCGGCGGCCAGAGCGGGGAGCGGGGAGCGGGGACGCGCGCGAAGAAGTTTCCCCTTCCCGCCAGAGCCCGCGCGAGCCACCCTGCCGCCGCCCAAAATCGCCTGCGTGCGCCGCCACGAGCTTGGCTCCAAAGAAACGAGGGTTTTGGTCGTTTCCAGAGGGCTAGGCGGAGAGGGCGTTTTTGGCTCTGGGAAGCTAGGCTCGCTCGCGGGCCACGACCACAAACATGGCAAGTTGCAGCCCACGCGCAGCCGGGCCTCCAGGCCAGGGTCGCAAACGCGCCCATGATTCATGTGTAATTTCTACATTCCAAAGGGGCTCTAAACCAAGTAAATGCGGATGGTATATTCTTATTTTTCCTTTTCTTTTAAGGCACATATGCAATCTTTTTTCCTCCAAAATATAGTAGATACATTTAAACATTCTTGCATGCTCAACTCACCTTATGAACACACAAAAGCACCCCTTACCCCTGTAAACACATTGGGAATGTTAGCTTGAGAGTGAAAAAATTGCCATAAAGTGCCCCGAACAAAGTTTTATTTTAAGATTTAAGAATAAAGAAAGTATTCCAGCCTCTTCCATCCACAAGTGAATGACTATAACCGGCTCCCAACAAAGTAAAAGTCATACATCTAGTTTCATCTAAAGGATTGAAATGACCTATTGCCCCAGAGATGTAATACTAGGTGTTATATATGTGTTTTATTGTTTTTCTACTACTAGAAGTCTAAGAAGATATACGGATCCCTCACCGCCAAGTTCATGAAGAACACTGACCACTCTTTTGCACACACAAATCGAAAATACAATGCAATACTTTGCTCTCCCGATTGTTTTTCTTACCTAAAAGGCAAAAAACCAGATGAACTCTGACATGAAGAATGTTGAGCAGCTCTGCTGTTGTATCGCATAGATTCTTGAGTTCCATCCTGAGTTCCTGTCATTTTTGCGGCTGAATCCATGAAAACAGGCAGAAAGCATGATCATGGTAACCTGCCTTTTCTGATCCAAACGATCGAGTTCTGGCCATGAATCCTGAACTCTATTTGATCGCAGTGGCTCGTGCTATAGGTTGACCGCGGAGCTGCAACAGAACTGGCGAACCTTTTGAGGCTAGTCACGCAGCCGACGCGAGCGAAGCCCGGGGCGGGGACGGCCCAGATAGAGCCAGTTAAAACACAGCTCGGCGGTGGCCGGTGTGAAACGGAATTACGGATTGGTGTAGGATTCGGTGACTTGGCTAACTGAGCCCGGCAGTTGCGCGCCGTCCCGGTATCGGTTTCGGAGTCGGGAGTCCTGGCCGCCGACGTTTTCATGGGTGGCGCCGCAATATAAGGCAGCGATCTCTGGCCGGAGAAGTGAAACCAACTCATCTTCTCTCAACTCTCAAGTCGAGCAGCTGGTGGTGGTGTTGTCCGCGTCGTTGGGACTCGGGAGTGCGGCGGAGCAACCCTAGTACCCTACTTCAATTCACACCAAGCCAGCGGAGCCATAGCGCGTACACCCGCGCCGCCGATGGCAGGCTCCTCTGAGGACGAGCGGCGGCGGCGGCGCCGCCGCTGTCCCGCTGATCTACGTGACGCCGAGCCGGAGGAAGGCGAGCTGGTCCCCGGGTGCGACTCCGACGTGGACACCGATGACTACTACAACAACCACAACTACTATTCCTCGAGCGACACAGATGAGACGACCAGCGACTGCAACTGCGCCCGCTCCGTCGTCCCGGCGAACTACGGCGGCGCCGCCGGCCCGTCCTCCGCCGCCGCTGCGGCGAACAACAACGGCAACACCGCCAGCTCGTCCCCCGTCGTCGCGGCGCCGGCGGCGGTGCTCTCGTGCCCCGTCTGCGGGAAGGAGTTCCGCAGCCGCAAGGCCGTCTGCGGACACATGAAGGTTCACCAGCAGGGGACGATTGGGCGCCGCCATGAGCAGCAGGGGGTCGGGAAGGACAAGGGGATCAAGCGCAATGCGGCTGTCACGGGGGGCTGGGGCGGCACCGGCAAGCGAGGCTGCTCCGGGTGTTGGAGCAAGCCTGCCTCTCCCAATGCCCAACCGGACCAATCCATGGCCATCGTCGTTGCAAACCCCAAAACTGTCTTGCAGCCGATGCCCGTGGCGTTCGCAATGCCCGTGCCCATGGAGCCCGCAACGCCAAATCCATCATCCGTGCCCATGGCGTCCGGAACACCGAATCTGTCGTCCGTGCCCATCGCCTCCACGATGACCAATGTTTCCGACGAGAGCAGCTCTGCGAAGCCGATGCGCGGTGATGCAATAGAGACAGTGGTGGCAGGAGCAGACAGCCCACCCACCGAAGCCGTCGTCCACGAGCAACCCATTGAGCCGCCGCCGCCGCCGCCGCCTGATGCAGAGGAGGAGCGAGTTCAACTTCCACCCGTCCACCCGCACCCCATTGCGCCGCCGCTTCCAGTTGCAGGTCGCCAAAATCCGAACGGGTACACATGCAAACAGTGCGGCGTGTGGTTCGCGATGCACCAGGGCCTCGGTGGCCACATGGCCGGCCACAAGACCAGGGAGCTCGCCGCCGTTCCATGCCGCCGTGACGCCAAGCCGGAGAAGGTGCACGTGTGCAGGATCTGCGCTGCGGTGTTCCCCGCCGGAATACAGCTCGGCGGCCACATGAGGAAGCACTATACTGGCGCGCCGATCGTGCCCAAAAAGAAGCCGCGACTCGCCGTCCAGCCCCTTCCACCGCCGGCGGATCAGAGAACCCTCGAGCCTGCACCTAGGCCGGCCGTGGCGGGCAGAGTGCGTCTCTTTGGCGTTGACATTGAGGCGGGGCCGCAGACGCCAGCGGCGCAAGAAGAAGGCTCGTCTGCGACTCAGGCCCCCTCGGCGTCCACCGGTGGGGAGCAGTAACCTTAGCCTATAATGGAAAGTTTCGCCTGGACTTCCACGTGGAACGGAAGTTTCAGTTTGTTAGCTAGGAGCAGAGAACAAGTAATCTAGAGGCTACTGGGGACACCCTTACAAAAGTGTAGTGTGTACACATGTACTAGTACTATACATAAGAATACATAGTATTGTTCCCTTTCTACAGAATAGAATATTTCAGATTATATTATTTTTCCTTATTTCAGCACATGCACTTGTGAGCACGGAACATACTTCTTTTTCATCCATATTATATAAAGCAGAAATTTGTCCATGAAGATGACTTAGAACGCTTGCCGGAACGTTTGGGGCAAGCTTAAACTGCGCAATAATAGGTTCTAGCCTTTGTCCCATGCATGCGCACGGGCTAGTTTACCAAATGCCAATACTCCAAAGAGCATCTCTGAGAATATCTAAAAGAGTCTCCCAATCCAAGAATTTTAGCAATATTAAAAAAAACTCATCTCCAACAACTCATAAACCCACCTCCCAATCTTTTGTCACTTGGAAAAAACCACCCTCACGTGCGTATATCGTTGCCCCAATCTGAGGTGGAAGGACATGGGGAAGAAAAAAAGTAGAACGGGTTCCTGATCCAAATGTACAAGGATTCCTGATGTAAAATTACATTCTATCTTTTAGGCGTGGGATTTTAGAACTGTTGGAGTTGTACCTTTTTTTATATCTCCTAATATATTTTGCAAAGGTTGAAAAACATGTTTTGGGGAGTATTTTTTAGATCCCATTGGAGATGCTCAAGACAATAGTAATAAGAATATATACCAATAAATTAAAATTATATATAATGTATAAGGAGAGTCTAATTTTATAAGGCATATGTTTTCTGTCCTCCCTAGTAATTAGGCTTGGAGATTAAGATATCACATGTTCAAAAGGTTGAATAGTCATTTCAGTCTCTCAACAACTACTGCCTGAACGTTTACTCCCTAGTAATTTCGTCTCTAAACTTTCAAAACGATAGTAAAGTCCTCAACGTTTACTCATGGGCTCAGTTTCATCTCCGGACTATCAAAGTGACATTTTCAATCCTAATGCTTTGCATTTTAGGCTCAATTTCAACCATGAACTATCAAAGTGTATTTTGGTCCTTAAACTTTTATTTTCAGCTCAACTTCATCCATTGTCCTATGTGAAACACAGCACCAGCATCCCTGGTAAGCTCTAGCATCGTCCATGATTTTTTTTTTTGACCGAAACGGTAGAGGAATCCCATGCCTATTTTTTTTTCTTTTTCTCATTAAATGAAAGAATGCTATTTACAGAAAATGAATTACAAGGCAACTAGGCCCAAACAGAAAAAAACATCTCATACATTGTAGCTCTCTCTCCAAAGATTAAGAGGGGTTTGCATGCTCGGTTTGGCTTTAATACAAACTAAGCCTAATTCTTCTTTGAACTCTCTTCTTCAAATGTTGATGTCGATCTGGCCCTTGTTTCTTGTTGTCCAAATGATCCAGCAGGCTGTAATAAAGATTTCTCTGAACATTGGGTCCCCAAAGTTGGTTCTAGCCTATATTACCATGTCCAGTCGTGGCAGATTTAAGTTCCAATGGATGGGAATGGAATTCCAGCAGTCTTGGCTGAATGGGCACTCAAAGAACAAATGGAATTCCAGCATCGTCCGTGATTGGAGATAAAATAATAATTAGTGGACGGTTAGAAACTCTTTAGCAGACATTAATAATTCTAATACTTTACTTGAACACATTTCCTACATCTCATTGCCTGAGATGAGGATACCCTTCAGGCGAGATAATTGGAATTTTGCCATTATGAAACGTGGGCTTCGCTCTTTTGCCATCCCACAAAAGGGATTCGCTGGTTTGCCATTATCAAACGGGACACACTCGGTAGAATGCCATTTCTGTATTTTGTTGCCAATTTTTTTTATGCTGGCGACCTTTTTTCTTTCCCGTTTTGCCCCTGAGCCTTCAACAACCGTATCCAATCCATTTCATCCCCCGTTCGTTCGGTCACGGACACACCGACGCCGCCAGGGCTGACGCATACTCGCCGAGAGCCCCCCGCCGCCGCCCGACGTCGTCAAGGCCCCCCCCCCGCCATACGAGCGTGTCCGCTCCAGCCCACCTCCTCATTGTGTCTCCCGTAGAGCTTGACCAGGGTCTCGGCACCTTTCGCCACGCCTTGCTGCTCCAAGTCTTTGGATGGACAACCACCGGCCAGATCTCATCCTAGGGTACGTCTAATTCGTTTTTGACCAGTGCTTGCTCACGAATGCTCTACTACTTAGCTCCTTTTTGACCAGTGCTTCCATATGATAGTTTCTGAGTTTTGAAGTTGATAGTTTCTGACCAATGCCTTTTCATTTATTAAGTTTATGTTCATGTGCTGTTTTTCAATGATAAAATGGCACCTAGGCTGTGGTCATGTACATAGAACTTTGAACCATTCTGGTGGTAATTGAGAAGTAAAATAAGTATAATTCTTAGTCCTCTAATTTATGGTGGTAATCTAACTTTGGAGATCTCCTAGCTGTACCACTTTTGTTTCCTGTACTAGGCTCGATGGAGAGCCTGAACTTAGCTTAGCAGCGGTAGAACCTCCTGCACAGCAGCTGCGGACACCTCTTGTTGATTGGGATACGCTATGCATTGAAGAAAGTCGAGATGAAGAGGGAATAATAGAGATGGTGGATGATGAGGTGATGTATGCATTGTTGGGACTAAGGCTTGAGGATGAGGAGGCTGATAAGGCAAGGGAGGCAGCTAGGAAAGTTTGCGGCGAATAGAACGACGATACTTGGGAAGTTGATACAATTGGGGCAGCCATTGATGTTGATGACTATTTACTAGGGGAGAGGACTGTGGTGCATGATCCAAATCGGCCTAGAATGGATCTTGGCACAGTGTATCCTAACATGAAGGAGTTTAGATTGGCTGTGAGACAATTTGCTATAAATGAAGAGTTTGAACTACACATTGTCAAAACAGACCCAACTAGATACATTGGTAATTACAAAGGAGAAGATTGTCATTGGCATCTTGTTGGGCGTAGACAACCTGATGGCACCACCATTATGGTACTAACTTGCATTTTTTGTCCTTCTATTATTGTTTGCATTCACTAATTAATTTTTTTGCAGGTGACAGTGCTTATTGGTGACCACACATGTACATCAAGTGCTAGGAGGAAGACTACGACACCAACCAGTACTTGGGTTGCTACAAAGGCAATACATCACCTTAGAAAGAAATCAAATATCGGTTGTAAGGAACTGCAAAAAACTTTGCAGGATGAACAGAAGTGCCAAATTCATTATGACACTGTTTGGAAAGGTAGGCAAATTGCTTTGAGAGAATTGTATGGCAATTGGGAAGAAAGCTTTCAGCTGCTATTCAATTGGAGGGTAGAGGTACTGAAGAAGTCTCCATGCAGTGTTATTGAGATTGGCATTAAGAAGGTAGACAACATGTTCTATTTCCATATATTTTTCTGTGCACTACAACCTTGCATTGAAGGTTTCTTAGAAGGATGTAGGCCATACCTTAGCATAGACTCTACTGCACTTAATGGTAGATGGAATGGTCATTTAGCTGCTGCTTGTGGTATAGATGGTCACAACTAGATGTACCCAGTTGCTTTTGGCTTCATTAATGGCGAGACAACAGATAACTGGACTTGGTTTATGACTCATTTGCATAAGGCCATAGGAGATCTTCCTGTTTTAGCTATCTTCCTGTTTTAGCTATCTCAACAGATAACAATTGGATCAAGGACTAGAAAGACCTTCCTATTGTGGAGCTCGCAGACAAACTCAGAGAGATGATAATGGTGTTGTGGGCGAAAAGGAGAAGAATATTAGAAATGCTTCATGGGAAGATCCTCCCAGCAGTCATACATCAGTTGAAGGCAAGAACAAGAGGACTTGGGCACTTGACTGTTGTAGATGGAGGTAGTTCTGCAGCAGAGATTTGGGACACCACAAACACTAATAGTAGACATGTTGTGAAGTCACATCGTCATGAGTGCACCTGCCTTGAGTGGCAGCATACTGGTAAGCCTTGCCAGCATGCTTTGGCTTTGATAACAAGTGTACAGTCCGCTAATGTAAGAATGGAGGACTTTGTGCACGAGTATTACTCGGTTGAGAGGTTCTAGGCAGCCTATAAAGAGACTTATAGAGCCATTGCCTGATAGGTCACAATGGCCAGATATTGATTTGTCGTTTGTGCTTAAGGCACCCCTTGACAAGAAGACAGCTGGTAGGTACAGAAAACTTAGGATGAAAAGCTTCCTTGAAGGTAGTGGAAGCAAGGGAAAGAAGGCAGCCAAGGAAGCAGCAAACGAGGCAGATAAACAAGCTGCAAATGAGGCACAAAATGGCAAGAAAACAAAGATTAGAGGCAAAAGGAAGTGCAAGAGATGTGGAGAATTGGACCATGGTGAAATAAGCTACAAATGCCATCTTAATGGGACTAAGAAAAGGCAAGACCTACTACATTCACTTGCTATCCTTAATTGTTGTGCTCATTAACTTGAACATTTGTCTCTAAACTTGCAGGCCAAGGAAGCCGAGGAAAAATACAACAAAGTATGGTGATAATGCAAAGATCCCAACAAAGAGAGCAAACAAGGGAGGGAACAGTGCTGCTGAACCAACACTGCAAGAAATGGCACCACCAGCCCCAAATCCTTCTAATGCCCAAGTCTTAGAACCACCAGCCCCAAATCCTTCCAATGCCTAAGTCTTGGCACCAGCAGCCCCAAATGCTTCCAATGCCCAAGTGTTGGCACCAGCAGCCCCAAATGCTTCCAATGCCCAAGTCTTGGCACCAGTAGCCCCAAATGTACTCTCCAGCCCCACAAGGCTCACAAGAGAGCAGATCCTACAAAACAACCCCATTAGGGTGACAAGAGGGTATGCAACAGATTAATTCTCATTGTTTTATACTTGTACACGAGCAAAAAATGACTCATAGTGGTACTTTTATTGCAGCCGACTCCACACACTGCTAGATGAAGGTGTGGATCCCATCATTGTTGCCTCATCAGACAAGACAGTCCAAAAGAGGAGCCCAGCAAAAAAACTGAAGCCAAGGAAACTGAAAACCAATTAGATGGTGTGACTTAGATGGTGTGAACCTTTATGGACCTATGTTATTGTATCTAGACCTATGTTATTGTATTTGGACCTATGTTATTGTAACTTAGATGGTGTGAACCTTTATGGAAACTAATCTGCTCCAATCAATGAATCTGCTCTGCAGCTTTATCACTACTGTGTATCCTGTCCACTTATTCTATCCAACTGTTGTCCCATTTTTGTTTGGTGACTCTCAGGGCTGGCCTTCCAACTGTTGTCCCTGAAGAAACTTATTCTATCCCCATTGTATTGCTTGAAAGGCATTTTTGTTTGGTGAGTCATGTGCTGTATGCTCCAATCAATGAATCTGCTCTAAAATGATGTATATGTCTGGAATAACATAGATATGTCTGAGTCATGTGCTGTTCTGCATTGCCAGACAATGGACCTGCAGTTTACCAAGCTGTACAATATCAGAAAATGGATCTACATGTTATCACTTGTTTTGCCATTCTCTGTAGCCTGTACCTTGATAAGCAGATGTTTTCTTTCTTGGGTTTGTATCCGGCAGATGTAGCCTGTACCTTGATCTATAGGTTATCACTTGTTTTGCCATTCTCTGTAGCCTGTACCTTGATAAGCAGATGTAGCCTGTAGCCTGTACAATATCACTTGTTTTGCTGTTATTGTATCTGGACCAAAATCTGGCAGATGAAGCATCCTCGTTACATAGTTCAGTAACTTGTATTTTTTGTTAGTATGCAGTGAGAACAATGGATATATTACAATGTTCAGTAACTTTGACAATTTGTATGGCTCTTTGAAGCAATTTCACTGCAGTAAGAATTTTTTTAATGCCTAAGGCACTTCAAACATGTGCAGTAAGAATAGAGTTTTTCATGAAAACGTCTTCATTCCATGACTTGCTAATAAGCATCCATACAATTTCAGTTCCATGATACAACACAGTTCCATGACTCGCTAATAAGCAATTTCACAACATTTCAGTTACTAAACAGACCACCACCACTGCTGATACAACACAGTTAAAGAACACAATCTTGCTTCACTTGCTAATAAGCACTACCACACCTAAAAGAACTATGACAGTCATGACTAAACAGAGCACAACCAACAGCTGGACCAGATCGATAAGCTTGTCCATCTTGAGATAGATCCTATCTTCATCAAAAATCCTGCTTTTAAGCTTCATTTCTTCTTGACATTTAGTTTCACCATGACCTTCTAATGGCACTGCAGCTAGCAAATCTTCCTTAAGCTTCTTTACGACTACTTTCTTGTACTCTTCCAACCACCTAAAGAATGGACATTTCTTCACTGCCTTTGGAAATGACAATACATAACACAGTTTATTTATCCAAACCTTGACACAGTACCTAGTTCATCCAGTTGTATATGACAATAAACAACAGAGCAATATATACTCACAAATTCATTGTAGTTTACGCATTTGAAGAAAATTCTGCCGTTGTTCTTCCAAGATTTGTATTCCACTACTTTATCACCACATTCTGGGCATGGAACCAGGGGGATCCCACTAGGGCCGAGTGGATACAGAGAAACGGCAGATGTTGGGATGAACGACGAATTAGACGAACCCTCACCCATAGCCTGGGATAAACGATGAATTAGACGTACCCTAGGATGAGATCTGGCCAGTGGTTGTCCATCCAGCACTTGGAGCAGCGCGGACGCGTCGGAGCGGCGGCGGGGGGCTCTCAGCGAGTATGCGTCAGCCCTGGCGGCGTCGGTGTGTCCGTGACCGAATGAACGGGGGATGGAATGGATTGGATTCGGTTGTTGAAGGCTTAGGGGCAAAAACGGGAAAGAACAGAGGTCGCCAGCATAAAAAAATTTGGCAACAAAATACAGAAATGGCATTCTACCGAGTGTGTCTCGTTTGATAATGGCAAACCAGCGAATCCCTTTTGCGGGATGGCAAAAGAGCGAAGCCCACGTTTCATAATGTAAAAATTCCAATTATCTCCCTTCAGGCAACACGCCCACACCTCTCTCTCTCTGGTGCCCGACGACCGCACCTCTCTCTCTCTCTCTCCCCAGCGTCTGACGACCGCACCGCACCGCTCTCTCTCTCTCTCTCTCTCTCTCTCTCCCCAGCGCCCTGCGAGGTCCTCCCCGCGCCCCACCGTGGATCTGGCAACCTCCCAACTCCGGCGAGCGGATCCGATGGCGGCATGGAGGCTTCGAGCGGATCCGACGGCGGCATGGAGGCTTCGGGCAGATCTGACGGCGGCGGCCATGGCGGATCCGACGAGGTATATATCCTCCTCATCCTCCTCCTCCTAGATCTAAGAGTTAAGGTTCCGGCTATTTTTCCCTCTCATCTTCCACAACCCCAGCAGGCTTAGAAAGGGAAAGTTTGGGGAAGGAAGGTCGGTCAAGCGGTGAGGATGGTGGAGGGTGGTTTAGGGGCCCTGGTGGCAGTGGAGGCGACCAGGCCAGGGAGGGGCGGGGGCGTCGCGGCTATTTGCCGGAGTTGGAGGAGAAAGCGGTGATGGGAGGGGGGAAGAGTGAGGCCCCTGCGGGCGTGATAGGGTCTCGCCAAAGCTCCGTGGCCGCGGCGGCGGAGCTCCGGCGAGACCCTAATGGAACCGCGGGGCGGTGGGCGACTGCGGGGCGAGGAGCGGGCCGGTGCAGACGCCATGACGAGAAGAGGAAGGTGAATAGTGTGTTGCCTGAAAGAAATGAACTTTTTAGGCACCTAGAATATAGTAAATCCCTTATTTTAAATGTTGTCTTGTAATGGTAATGCTGTTCTTTATATATATCCTACAAGATTGTTTTTGTGGGAATAATTACGGCTGCTAGGAACACTATTTAGTACCTTGAGAACACATCCATGAAATAGAACAACATTAGATCTACAATTTTTCTCTTAGGTATTTCTAGCCAATTGCGAACAAAAATAATATTTTTCCATAAGCTAAAAGATATTTAGTTACTGGAATGAAAAAATATAATTATAACTGAATAGTATGATATCGGATCCGAATGGTCTGATTATTCATATTTGAGGATATTTGGATCCATATTCATATTCATTTTGATGTCTGGATATATAAATATCTAAAGTGTGCTATCTGTCGATAGTCAGGAACAATGCCAAGGACACTGGTACCTAACGATGATCTTCCATCTTGAATCGCATGTGGTCCTGGAGCCGACCATTTGACATCATGACGTTCCATGTAGGACATAGGACAAATGGGACAGAATTGAGGAAAAAGAGATTAAATACACTTTGGTAGTTCATAGGTGAAACTAAGCCTAAAATACAAAGTTTAAGGACCAAAATGATCGTTTTGATAGTTCTAGGATGAAACTAGACCCAATAAATTTGAGGACTGGAATGGTTATTTTTAAAGATTAGAGATGAAATTATACCTTGGAGGATCAAAATGACTATTCTACCTATTCAGAGTCCAAGGATAATCTATTTACAACTCTCCTCATATGGCACATGAGAAAAAGAAAAAGAAACTTGCTTAGGGCAAGCATACTGTAACACATCAACAATCGCATAGATCCTCATTTGAAGCTATGCAAGATTTTTTATGACATAGATGAGAGAAGTCGAGGGAAAGAAACAACCCCTCATAAGCTAAAATTTAGGACTACAAGACAACTTGTGCATCAATGTATAAGTTTGTTGTTGTAATGCAGCTTGCAACATTTATATTCCTTTTGTTCTGTGAACAAATTAAGAAATTATGAGCTACTATGACAATCAAAAAGCCATCTTATTGTTTAGGTTGTCTAATAAATTGACTCAAGATTATATGCCACTGTATAAGATTGTCTATAAGACAATATCAATATACTTGCCTTTAGAGCAACTACATTAGTGTTGTCTTATAAACATTCTCATATAATGCTACATAATCTTGAGTCTTGAGTTATCTTCTAGTAACTCATTACGGCAATCAAATCACAATGAAAATCTATTTCTCGCACCACATAGTCCAAATAATGCTCGGTGGCTGAGAGACCGGGGAGTCCTTTATCAATTCTCACGGACAGGGCCTGGAGCTCTTTGCTGACAATAAACTGCTTCACCGCCTGAAGATGCTACTGCAAGTTTTGACAACCTACATTATATAGCACTAGCTCCGATTCAGATAAAAAATGGACGGTCAGAACTTATCTGACTCGAACAAAACGACCAGAACTAGTAAAAGCAGCCCATGTTTCCTGCTGCTTTCATCGGCCGGAATGTCATTTTGTTAATTGAACTAAAGAACCAAGTAACCAACGCAATACAACGGCACAGCTACGAGTAGCTCCTACACTCACCTGGTCACAGCATAGGTGCAGCTCTCAAGGGTCAGAGCCCTCTCTTCTTTTTTTTACACCATTCCGTCATATGCTCGGCTGCTTCCCTTTACCTCCCAGCTCTGTCGCGCCATGCTTATATTTCGCGACGAGCCGGGGACTCCTACAGGCTACGTCCTACCATTCTGTCTACCACCCTTCCACCTCTTCAGACGCTTCAGTTCCACCACCACAACGCTGATGTTGTCAGTGCTGCCCCGCGACATGGCGAACTCCACCAGCATCGCAGCGGCATCGCTACCCGAGCTCCCGTGGACGGTGTCAGGGTACTTGGCAGCCGCGTGCCCGCACAAACAGTTCCTCGCGACCTTGCAAGCCTCCTCGTTGGTCATGACGTCCCACAGCCCGTCGCTCGCCAGGATGATGAACTCGTCTTTGTGCGTACGCTCCGTAACAGTCACCTCTGGTTCAGCTGATATGAATGGCTTCATGTAATAGTCACCTGAAATAGCAGACAGAAGAGATTCAGTGATCGGTCCATAATAGAGCACGATCTGTGAGAGAATGTCTGTCTTAAACAATGGAGAGATAGCAATGTATTGAGCAATTCAAATTCATCAGGTTCCAAGTCCACAGAGGGTCCTAAACAATGGAGAGATAGCAATGTATTGAGCAATTCAAATTCATCAGGTTCCAAGTCCACAGAGGGTTTTGCAAGTTGCAACTCATCCTTATGAGGTTTGCTGCTTCACTAGTCATCATACGGGACCACTACTGGCACAGCATGGCTTATTGGACTCAAGGTTCAGGGTGCACAGAGCATGGCATTGCCGAAAAAATCACAATGAATGTTTCAAAAAAAATCACAACGATCCAAGTGATAACATGATTAACTATCATGCAGTCATGTTCATTGTTTCTCCTTACCAAAGCTACTGCAATTGTTAGACAGTTGAGACTCTAGCTAGAAGGACGGTGATTGTCACCTTCACTCACATGGACAATGTATAGAACAAAAAGGAGACATCATCGTACCAATTGACCTTGACGTCGAAAGCACCCCCAGGACACGGTACCCATTCCAGTTGATGACCCTGCCACCTGCTGATTCTACCCTTTCCAACTCATCAGGCCTATCTGGCTGTACAGTTAGAAAAAAGTTTTCATTAGCATTACCTGTGACAAACAATACGTGTTAGACAAAGCTGAAACTGTAAAACAAGTACAGTAGTAGGAAAGGAAATCTCAAATACTTGTTAGACAAAGCTGAAACAGACGAATTCAACACTGCACTGAATCAGCAACAAAATGCGCATCGCTTTGATTAATTTGAAATTCTGAACTCAGACAATGATTAGACATTGCAAAACTTAGAGACAACTTATTACAATTCACATATCAAAGTTTGAAGAACCTAATCAGTTATCACTATAATGGGACTTGAACACTCATTTGGTATTTCAGACCTCTACTAGGGGCTACCGTTTCCTGTGTTCTGCGGCGTTCAGACAACTTGCAGTTCAGAACGATGGATACAGTAAACAACGCTGCTTTTTGTCTAAAGATGTTATCATAGAAAGATCATATTGTGAGAAGTTGTGGTGGGCATCGAAGCGTGGCACATAAATAAGGTCAAGAAAAAGAATATGTTCTAGTTGCAGGTAGATCAAGTCATATCAAGTGCACCAGGAAACTTCAAAGTTCAGCTATTACCAGAGCACCAAACAGAGTTAACCTCACTTAACCACTTCAGTGTCAATGCATTCTCCTAGCCCCTACATGCTAGCAAGATAAATCTAAATAAAGCAGGTTAATGAACCCTCCCTCTTTTAGTCCCAGCAGAGTTTCCATGTTTAGCCAGGAGAAAATAAACTGCATTTTCAAAACCATATCCTCGCATTGACCAATTGTGTTAAAGTATACCTGCAACAGTTGCATGATCGCACATCCTACATCATTAGAGTTTAAGGTTTGCATGCCACAAGATCAAGGTTGGTCCCCACATTCACTGCCCACATTGGAAGTGAAAAGACCAAGCCGACAAATAGCAATGCTTACTTAAAGCAGCAGCCTAGCAGGCAACCATCGTACTTGATATGACTTCACAAAGCCGCATCTAAAACAAATTATTTCTCACCTAATGAGACAGTGTTAATGTGCAATACTTCTGTTTTGAAACCCACCCTCGACTTCATTTGCGCACCCAAATGTCAAGAACTTTATTCCCCATCACTGTATCCACTATCTTGTTTCCAGCTAGATAGGCCCTATCCTAACATATGATGTATTACATCAGCTTGAGATATTTAACCCTCCAAATGGCCCTGTTCGCTTTGTTGAAAAGCCAGGCTGAAAAGTACTGTTCACTGATTTGTTGTGAGAGGAAAACACTGTTACTTCGCTAAAAAAGTACGGCTGATAAGCCAAGCGAACAGGGCCCCACCATGCAGTTAGCAGTTAATAGCTAACTACACTGTACAGAAAAAATACCTAAAGCATTGTCGTAGAAGGCTTCTCCCACAAAGCATACTCTATTTTGGTTTACAGATTTACAGATTGATTCAACCCCATATTAAAATAAACATTGATGTAAGACACAAAAAAAAAGTTTAAATAACTCACCTAGAAGATGACAGATAAAATGGTGCAGCATCCTATATGGTACGTTTGAAGCAGAATTAGTATTGACTAAGGTGTCAGTAGTGTAGAATATTTAACATAAACAACTGAACCAAGGACATGCACAGTTTCAAGAAATAAATCTAACTGTACATAAAATTTTGCAGAGAGGCACAAGACGATGCCACTTTCCCAAGACATATATGACATAGATAAGATGAAGAACGTCAAATAGTTGACTACATGACAACCAACGTTAATCCAGGACACTTAACTAAAAGGGAGAATTCCCTGTGTGCCATTAAAAAAGATCGCAATGCCATGTGTGCCCCTGAAAAAGTTCAGCGGTCTTCAGCGCCACTGCTCCAACTTTTTCGTGCCCTCCATGTCACTTCCGTCAGTTTGGGCTCTAACGTCGTCAAACTACAGGTGTGAAAAGACGAAAATGCTCTTAAGTGTAAATATGTCATTAATTTTTTTGATCTTAACGACTTCAAATGAAAAAACTCAAAACTAGAAAGTTGTAGATCTCGTCGAGATCTATAATTTTCATATAAAAATTATTTTCATTTAATTTCGCAAAAAAAATATGATATGATTGATATATCTTAAAAAATCATATTATTTTTTTTGCGAAATTAAATGAAAATAATTTTTATATGAAAATTATAGATCTCGACGAGATCTACAACTTTCTAGTTTTGAGTTTTTTCATTTGAAGTCGTTAAGATGCTCAAAAAAAATTAATGACATATTTACACTTAAGGGCATTTTCGTCTTTTCACACCTGCAGTTTGACGGCGATAGCGCCCAAACTGACGGAAGTGGCATGGAGGGCACGAAAAAGTTGGAACAGTGGCGCTGAAGACCGCTGAACTTTTTCAGGGACACACAGGGCATTGCGATCTTTTTTAATGGCACACAGGGAATTGTCTCTAAAAACAAAGGTGTTCCTCTGTGCAGCTCTCAACGATACTACAGGAGCAGAGTGACTACTAATCACAAGGACTGAACCGAGCTAATTAACTACTAAAAGAAAGATGTTTCATTATCTCACTGCAGTGCACACAGCTAGGGCATGTACGGTGGAGTGAAATCAACCATCTATAAAAAGGTGCCACATATGATTTTATCCAATGTGGACGGAAGAGAAAGATGAGAGACAAAAATGCCGTCTAGTAATTAACAGACAGTTTGGGAGCATGAGAGAAATCTCTTATAAACAACATTTTTTTCTACTATAGAGGTATCGTCTATTATATCTAGCCACATGTTATGCAATAATTGGATGCTATTTAGATTGCCCACGTGGGATATAGAGTCATCACACGTGGGATAAAGGGTATAAAGGATATAATAAAATCCAGCCTCTATATCCATGTGGGATATAGTCATCTTACAGATCTAAGTGCCCATAGCAGTTAGCACCCTACTAAACCAAATAACACGAATGGATTACTGAAATGGAACCCACTCTGTTCTGCTTCCTGAACACTACTAGTCAAACCTCAGTTTCCACGAAGTCGAGCTCTGTCTACAGAAACCATTTGCAAGTTGTAACGAATGCGACATTGCATGAGCTGGAAGCAAACAGTGGGCCTAAACTAGTTTTATTTTTGGAAGGACTAGACCAGTTAGGCATGTGTGTATATGAAGCAAACAATTATTTCCTCCCAGCTTAAGTATACAGAATGACTTTGAGATTCCTTCCCGGTGCAAAAGGGGCCCATGAAAGATACTAGTGGGCAGCATATATAAAGAGGTGCAGTGCAGTGAAGCACGCTATCAGAATTGGCCGACCTTGATCCAACCAAGCACCCTTGTCGGGTAACCGCGGCCGAACACACCCGTCTTCGCGCCTTGGCCCTAATGCCCGATGGGGAACTCCACCCGACGTGTCGCCCGCTTTGCCGCGTGAGTAGGACCCCCCGGCCAGGTGTAGACCACCCTGCCCGCCGGTTGGCGTTTTCCGCAGCAAACCCTGGCCAGGTGGTAGAGTCCTCGGGGACTAGTCTTTTCTCATTCTCACGCACTGGCCACGAGCAGGATCGCCTTCCAATTTGGCACAGTGCTACAAAGCAGCCCCTGGGTGCCGAAAGCCGAAAAAAAAACGGGTGCGACGAAACGAAACGAAACGAAACCTGCGGGGCTTTGGGCGCCTGCCTTTTGCGGCCTGCGCGCGACACCTGTGATCCCGGTCGAAGAAAACGGCACGGCAGGCAATGGCATCATGACGCCGACGTCGACGCGTGCGTAGACGGCGGCGTAGCGTCCCTAATTCTCAGCCGCATCGCGAGCGATTCTAAATCAGAAATGTTATACACAGCAAAAAAAAAAACGCATGGATTTTTTTTATTCTCTCACTCTGTCTGACCACACAAGGCAGCAGCGGTGGCGGCGGCAGCGCCGGCGGACTTGTGATTTGTTCATCAATAAAAAAAATTGTGATGTATGATATGCGGAGTCAGGAGGCTAGAGATAGAAAAGAGTGGAGGCTGTTGAATCTTAATCGGTGAAAAAAATTAATATGTTGAAATTATATAAAACGCATAGTTGTGTATAGCTGTGCAGTAGAGAGACTCTTCTAGAAAATAAATGCGGATCCGGGGGGCACTTGGCGAGCCGTCCCCTGCCTTGATGGCAGGCAAGTCGGGAGAATTTGTTTTGGGGGGGCAGCAGGGGGTAGCGCGGGTGCTGGACACTTGTTAATACCTTGTGGTCGGAGGACAGCGGCATGGGGACGCCGCCGCGGGAGAGCACAGCGCGGGAGTCGCCGCAGTTGGCGACCACTATGCGACGGGGCCCCACGACGGCCACGACGGCGGTGGAGCCGCAGCCCATCGTGTGGCCGGCCTTGTTCTTGTTCGCCTCTCTCTCGACGACGACGACCTCGCCGTCCACGCGGGCGAAGCAGGCCTCCATGGCCTCCCTCCAGCGCAGCACGCCGTCCCCGTCGCCGCCCTTCCCGGGTTGCAGCTGCAGACGCGTCACCTCCTCCGCGAGCACCACGTGCAGCCGCTCCCGGCACGCGTTCGCCACCCGTGACCCGCCGTGCCCGTCGTACACCGCGAAGAACTCCGCCTCCGCCTCCCCGCCGCCGTCTTTCTCCTCCCCCTCGCCGCTCTTCTCCTCCCCCGCCGCGGCGGCCACCAGGAACGGCGCGGCGACGGCGAACGCGTCCTCCATCTCCCGCCGCCGCCCGATCACCGACATCGCGCCGTGCGACACGGACTTGGGCCAACCCCCCGGTGGCACCACGGCAGAAGCCCCTTCCCGCGGCTCGGGCGCCACCTTCGCAGACTCGCGGGACGAGTCCGCGGAGGCGTCCGACACCGGACGCGCCCGCTTCGAGGCCTCGCCCTGCGCCCCCGCGGATGCAGTGCGGCCCAGCCGCCTTGCCTCCAGCCTCCGACGTCGCGCTAGCTGCGCCACGGCGGCCAGTATCTTGTCCGTGTCCGCGGGCGTGGGCGCCTCGTCGAGCGCCGGCACACCATGGTCATGCTCTTCCGCGCTAGCCTGCGCCTCGAGCGCCGGCACACCATGGTCTTGCGCGCTAGCCTCACTGCTGCTCATCGCCTCTCTTCTGCCACTCCCACTACAAGCGGAGCGGAAGGAAGGAGCGCAAAAGAAGCGAGGGCGTCGGGGGGTCAGGCGGGCTTTAATACCCGCGGCCGCGGCGGTCAGCCGTCGGATCGGCGTTAGATGGCCCGGATGCGCGACAGCCGTATGCGGACGTGGACGGCGCGGATCAGCCGTCGGCCGTCGCTCGTCGCGTGGCACTCGCGAAGGGATGGCTTTCGCGATCTCGGCGCTCGAGGAAGCCCCAGGTGCGCGCGGCTCATGTGAACCCGAGAGACGGGATCCGGAAGATAGGCTATGCGGCCCAGCTGTCAGTGGGCGGTGGTCTGCGTGGAGAAGGCGCTGCCCGCGGCCTCTACGTCTGGGGCTTTTAGGTAACGCGTGGGACCCAGTGCGAAGGGGTACGGGGTTACGTGGAGGAGAGAGAGAAGGATGACCAGTGGGGCATGTCGTGCGATTTTTGACTGGTAGGAATGAATTGGTAGACGCACGCCATCGCCGCATGCCAATGTGCAAGAGATTCAGGTGCCTTTGGTCTTTGGGCGCCAGCTGTTGAGCGCGCAGCCTGCGCCTAGCCATGTCGTGGTATATCTCGCAAAAATCTGATCTGAAGTAATAAAAACGGTATATATTATAAATGAGCAGCTAACATCTCATGGACTCTTATTATTGCTAGACAGTACTAGCATAAATGGCTTCCAAGTGATAGCAGAAGTAACATAATGCTTCAAATAGATTTTAGATCCACCTTGTAAAATTTCAGCCAACAAAAAGTTATTGCAAAGTTAGTATTGCGATAGCACAAAATCATTGTGGCTGAAACACATTTTTAAAAGTACAACATGAACACTCGTACATGTATGTACACTCAACGCATGCACACATATTATACTTCATATGAGCATTTCTGAAGGATCAAGACAAGAATGATGTCGTTAAATTCAAGAATAAATTTAAAAAATATGTGAATATTCATGTTAAGTCCAGGACTTGACAAAGCGTGGACAAGTTCCACTACAAAGAATCCAATCAGCTGAGCTAGGCTCAGTATATTCACGCACAACTAGCGCATTGTTCTGCGCGGGAAACATCTAGGCCTTGATATTGAAACATGTTGATAAGGGCCTCTACTTCTCTTAAGAAAGTGGGTCACATGCTTCAAAAGTCGAAAGCTTTCAATACGCCACACGTCGAAAGCTTTCAATACACCACACGGCCCATAAGCCTGATCGGCTGGGAGCGGCTGGCTGGGCTGGCTGGCCAGCCCTCTCACATAAATAATGTTCACGCGAACTAGCCAGCAGTACTTCTCTCTCACATAAACGAACCAGCAACGATACGAACCAACCAACCGAACAAGGCTGCATACCTGTTGGACCAATATAATGACATGTTATTAAGTATAGTTCCCCTTTTCTAGGTGGAGTACATATACATATCATATATGAATGCTAAAATCTCGATTCAGCCCAAGTAAGTCAATATTCATCTATAAGGACATCCATAATGTATTTTGTTGGACTCGGTAAGAAGATGAGCCCAAGGAACAGGCGACAATAGTATTCCACTCATCCACATAATCTGCATCCGAAAATAAGATGGGCCCACAAAAACGACAATCTAACCTCCTAGACCCTTCAAACTTCGCCATCTTTGTCCTTTACCGCCGCCATCGCCTCCTCCTCTACCACTAGGCACTGCTTCCTTCTCAGCCGATGCCTCCATAGTTGCCACTAGCGCGGCCAGGAAGGACATACCCCACGCTCTAGCCTTCTTCAGCTCGTGCGGCATGTCATCTCCTCGTCTGTCGCACCCTACTCCTTTCTCCCTTTGCCACGATCAGTGCCCACTCCACGCCGCATGAGGCGAGGCCAAGGCCGAGCGAAGGACTCCATGTGTTCGGATGGGTTCAAGGACCTACAGTGACTCCTCAAGCTGCTCTCAATAGAGCCAATCTAGAGGTAGAGACCTACTCGAAGCTCCAATGCTCGTGGAGGTGGCCATGGACCTAAGGTGCCTCTGTGCCGCCATCTCGAGGGCCTCCACGCCCCCGTCACCGGGATGACACCGATGTGTGTGTGTGTGCCCGCGCGCGTGTGCGTGCGTGCGTGTGTGTTAATTCATCTTACGGGGTAATAGTAGTGTTACTACCGTCAACAACTATTGCTTCCTCTTCTTTTACCGTCCATAGTGTGTATCTTACTACTAGTAAAAACCTTACTACCCTCTTCATACCTCCCATTGCGGACACCCTAAGGAGGTTGGAACATTATTTTTTGTGTATCATCAAGTCATAAAGTATATCCAGCATGGTGGGACCCATTGATGATGCACTTGCTTTCCCCTAAGTACTCTTATCAGCAATAAGCAAATTTATGTAGTTTTCGAAAAAACATTGTTAAGGGCATCAATCAAAAATTGAAACTTGGCTTTGAATAAAGTTATTTTACGCCATGTGGTCAGTAGTGGACCTAAGACTAAAATGGAGCCCAGACGAGACTAAAGACATTGATCAGGTCATGTGTTTCAAAATTTCTGACTAAGGGTGCTGCGACGGAAGACTAAATGTGTCCTGGCCCTAGAGCCTGAGCGAGTGCCCAACGTCGCCGGGCCCTTTGTCCGCCACTGTATGTGGTCCATGCCCAATCCTAGTAACAAGCCAGTTCTTTTCTGGTGCAACTAGATCACTTTGTATTGTCGATAAGGTTTCAATATGAAGTGGCACACAAAGTACCTAAGTGGAGAATTGGGCCTCAAAAATCAAGTAAACATGGCATGCGCCTTTACACTACTCCAGGATGGCCTTGTTGTCCCAGACAGTAACGGCCTTTAGTCCTGGTTACCGCGCCGAGACAACGATCCCGAGACTAAAGGTGGAACCTTCAGTTTCGGATCATCGAGTCGGGACTAAAGAGGGACCTTTAATCCCGGTTGGTAACACCAACCGGGACTAAAGGTTCCTTTTCTTTTTTCTTTTCTTTTTTAATTTGTTTTCAGTTCAGTTACACATATTTGTATAATATATAATATGTTTTTATGTACATAGTCTACGCTGCTAATATAAATACACACACGTATATAATTACATCTAATTCTCATCTCGAGCATTATTATATTCGAATAAAGTATGAAACTATATATATTATAGATATATATATGTATATATACAACACTTTCATAATCTTGTTCTCGAAAATAACGATATCAATAAACATTTAATTTACATCATTTATTCCTTAGGATCAAAGTAGAACTCGCCGTTGAGATTTAGCACTTTTTCTAGAAGAAATCCTGCTATTGACTCTTGAACTGCTTTCAGATGGTCTTTTTGCATGACCCTTTGTTTCAACCATTCAGTCTTGCATTTGAAATAAAAGGAAAAATATTAATAAATATATATATTCATTTAAAAATAAATAAAAAATTGATATATACATACTCTGAGGACATTTTTAGGAGTTCTTCTTATGTGCGCAGTGATAAATTCACAAACGTAGTATCCACATAAGTTATTACCTGGTTGCTGCCGCAAACACCACTGTACGAGAAGAAGATTATTCTCATCATCTCACACGTAAATTGAAGTACGATATAGTAATTAAACACGTAGGGAAGTATATATAGTACAACTTCATCTGGTATTTTAACTACATTAAGTGGTGCCTTGCAATCCTTGCGGTGTTTGCCGAATAAACTCTTTCCAAATCTGTATGCGACCAATAATGTACGATCGTTAATAAATTATGGCAAAGTCTATTCAATAATAGTTGTCTTGCGAGAGATCGAAATTACCCCCGGATAATGTCTATCATATCTTGGTATAGTACCCTCTTTTCTCAATGAGTCCAAGATTACTAATCGACTTGAGTTTAACTCAATGACAATGAGTATCCAGTGAAACATGCATTGATTTATACACACACGTACATGCATATAAATTGTATTGATATTACATAAAATGTGTTGACTACATTATTATTAACACTTACTCAAAGTCGCACGGAAAAGTATTGTTGTCTTGTCGTGTCGCTTCACGAAGAACCTCATGATATTCTTACGGCTTCGAGATACCCATCGCTCCTTGGCAATAATATCGGTTTTGAATACGATATAAGGATCAATGAAGCCAACATGGTGTCTTGTATTCTTTGGAGCTCGACATCCGGAATATGTATATAAATATAAGTTACATGTGAGGATAATTATATACCGCACGCATGGAAGTGAGTTTATTAAATAAAAGTAAGAATCACTTACAAACAAAAGTAGCTAATGATTGATTTGTCCAGAGGCGTCCATGTGGTATAGTTGATGCAATTCTTGAAACTAATATGTAAGATGTCATCATACGGAAGTAATGATGGTCTCTAAATCGACAAAGATCCACTCCTCACCCCCGCCACACGCCTTTGCATGTACCACTTGTTGAGCAAGTACATTTATGTATCCAATTCATTCAGAGTCATGAGGTTGTCTACAGATTTTGCCAAATTTATAAGTCTTCCGGTATCAACTTCCGAGTTCGGATTGGAGCTTTGCCCGTCAATTGATCCAAGGTTAAACCAATATCTTTAAAAAGCATTAAGGTCTTGAACCGATACTTCTCTAGAGTTGTGCGGTCGATAGACTTCTATGTTGGAACCATATTCATTAGCAACAACAAGATTTTGTATTGGTTGCTTCATTGTCCGAGTGTGGGACATCCTTCCCCGATGCTCTTTTCCTTTTCTTATCTACATCATGTGACTTCACGAGGGAGCGGTCATAGTCGATAGTGGCGGAGGCTTCACGAAGTTCAAGCATCTTTTTCTTGTGATCTTGACCTTACGCCTCAAAGCAGATCTCATGGTATGTAAAAGTACAGCTTCTCCTTAAGCTTCGCTTGTCTACGCTTTTGATATCTATAAAAAATCTTTCACTTTTTTGTCTTCTTCATTTGCTATTTGCTCATCGGTCTTTTCAAAAAGTATTTCTTGAGAAATAACTTTTTTGGG